GACTTGCCTAATTTAATTTTACCCTCTAAATCCATGCCACTGGCTGTGCCTTGTACCACTATTTCTCATTCCTTTTTCTTTCATTTATACATTTCCCTCAGTAGTTGTGTTATTTTCATAGCTACTGAATATACTTCACTCTGTTCATTGAAAGCATCCTGAAAGAAAAGTCTCTTTTGGATCATTTGTTCACAGTGGGTGCAAAACTTTACTTGTACAGGTGATTCTGGTGACATATGGAAATTTTCATCTCATTTTTAGCAATATCTAGCCAAACACTTAAGCATACAATGAATAGTTAAGAACAGATTTGAATTTTGTTTCATCCAGAAGCTATGGGGAATTTATGAACATTTTGCAAATATTTATGTAAGAAATATTCACAAAGGTTTCTGACTAAACATATTTACTTTCAAAATTCTTACAGTTCTTCAATTATGTTACCTCCATGGTTGTGCTTTTGTTGAGCTGTGACTAACTAGCTGGCTGCTACAGTGGGCTAGCATTCAGGAAATACTTTGATTTCAGCTTGAAATGAAACAAATAACCCTTTAAAGGAAAAAAAAAAAGGTTTTTATTATTGTTTAAACAAAGGGGGGAAAAAAAACCCCAAACATCCAAAATGAGTAACAAAACATTTGTATTTATTATGTTACCAACTTTTAACTATAGGTGGAAGCTAATCTTAAAGGAAAATGTGTTCTTTACATTTTTAATCTTGTTTTCCAACATTTTCTGTCCTTTGTTTGAAACATGTCATTTACCTCACTTACTGAGCACCAGGCTGAATCACCTCTCCATCAGATCTTAAAGTTTATTTTGCTTTATGATGAGGTTACTCATAACTGCAATAAAACTACCAGTGCTGGAATTTCAAAGATGTTTTCAGTTGATGACAGACTGCCTCTGCCAGTCACTTAAACTTAAGTTTTATTGCTGACTGCTTTGGGAGCTGGCCAGCAAGAGATGGTCTTAATTTTAGGGTCAACCATGCTGCAAATGGTTGGTCATTTGACTCCTCTGATTGCATAAGTCAAAAACAGTTTCTCAGTCATCTCTGGAATTTACCCAATTGTCTTCCTTGGGCAGGGGCTGAGGGCCCTGGGTGGAGTTCCCAGGCTATGGGCAGGAGAGGTCCCATGTGATGCTGGGCAGACCACTAAGACCTGTCAGTGCCCTCAACCAATGGCCCATCATGGATTGATTATTAAAAGTGTGCAGTGAGCAATACCACAAAGGGACTAGAATGGATCAGTTTTTGATCAAATCCATAAGCCAGAAAAACGATCACCTTAGATCTTTGGGACTAATTGTCCAATCACTCAAAACCTGGCTTTTGCATGAGAAATATGTCAGCATATACCTCAAAACACAGATAAATTTATCACAGCTGTTCAAGACTTTAAATAGCAAATATTTCTTCACTGATAAAAATGAGAATGTAAACCCCACTTATTTTCCATGTAAATATGTTTAAAAGTGGTGCCTTGTGGAGAAAAAAGGGGAGGTGGAATCCTTGTCATCATCACAGATATTAATAGCTTAATTAGGGTCAGAAGTGGTGATCTTTCCCCTTAGCACTGGTGAGGCCACATACTGTGTCCAGTTCTGGGCTTCCCAGTACAAAATACTGAAGCAGGTCCAGTGAGAATAATTAAGATACTTGGAGCAACTCTAATATGAGGAAAAGTTCAGAAATCTGGGGCTGCCCAGCCTTGGGAAGAGAAGACAGGGGGGATCTTATCAAAGTGTATAAATATTTGATGGTGAGAGGCAGTGAAGAAGATGGAGCCAGAGGTATTCAGTGACAGGATAGGAGGTAATGGCACAAATCAGAAAAAAAAAAAAAAAAAAAAAAAAAGCGCCTGAACATAAGGAAATATTTTTTACCTTGAGGGTGGTCAAACACTGGAACAGGTTGATCAGAGAGTTTATGGAGTCTCCATCCTTGGAGACATTCAAAGCAAACTGCATGTGGTCCTGGGCAACCTGCTATTGCTGACCCTTTATGATTAGTGGGTGTAGACTAGAAGATCTCCTGAGGTCCCTTCTAGCCACAGTAATTCTGTAATTTTGTAATTACAGTGAGGATGATATATTCCAACAAATCAGACAGTCTGGGTATCCTGTAGATAAAAGGGCACCTTAGTGAGTTCTACTCATTCCAGCTCAGACACTGAAAGAGCAAAAGTACATAGTATCCAAGCTAAATCTAGCAAAAGAAGTCATTAAAGCTGGTCTGTTCCACTGGAAAAAGGCTGTTTTGTTACTTGTGATCGTAGTCTGGTGAATCCATCCCCTGTCGTGCTGCATGCATACAGCCAGAAGGATTCCTATTAGCTAGTGAAACTTATTTATAATGAGCACCATTTACTTCCCTTGAGATATCAAAGAATTTAAGTAATTTCAGAGAAGCTCCTGTATTATGGTTTTAACCCCCAAATTTCAGTCACCTTGGACATAGGGGCAGCCAGTGTAGAGAATTGAGGGATCCTGATATCTCATACCTTTATCTTTCTTGTGGAGACTACATGATCTGTGTCATCACAAAGGTCTATAAATCTAAGTCTAATTTAAGCTATTCTAAATAATTTGAAAAACATGAAATAAAGTATGATTTTCCTCATCTATTCATGATATTGCAGAGGTGTTATAATATGTTTTAAAAGTACTGGGACAGCTACTCCCTTAGGCTTTCAATTCCATTTGGAATCACATTAAAGGGGCTGCTAAAGGACATATTTTTTAAAATTACACAAAAGTTTTTTGCTATTACTTGGGAAAAGACAAAATATACCTTAGTGGCTTCTCATTTGAATGTAGTATGTTCCTTTTTGTCCTCCTTCATAAAAACTTTTTATTCTCTTCTTTTATTTCAGTTGATTGATAGACTAATATTTTTTCAATAAGCCACAATGAACAATACACAAGATTAGGTGCATTACTTTGATAGATTGTAATATAAATATATTACCTGTGTAGCATTGGAAAAATAGAGTGAACTGCTTTTCCTCAAAAAAACCCCAAGCGTCTCAACTCTTCCTAAACCAGGTCAATATAAGGAGTAGTGAAAGAAGACTTGATAACAACTTTGGACAGTGTCCTCAGAAAGTTTCAGGTACAATGAACTGCAAAGGGCAGTGGAACACAGTTTAGGAATTTGAGACTCTCTTTACTTAAACCCTGTAGGGTTTCCAGTCTATATATAGACAATAAAGACTGATTTTTGACAACATAGACATGACAGCATGCCTGTGTGGGCACATAGGCTGATGACTATTCCCTATGTCTGCCACACACAGTGATGATTTACAGTCCCCAAAGTACTTGTGAGCATGACAGAAAACCTGAGAGAAGCCAAATGTTCACAAATGGCTTACTGCTGCTGAAAAGAGACACATGCAAAATAAAAGCCTCTTAAAATGTAATTTGAAAGATTTGAACACAGAATGTAAATCATAAGCCAAAATGTACTTAACAACATGTCCCCTGTGTAATTTTGGAGAAGCGGTCCTGCAGTGCCCCTTGGCCATGTTAACTACTTGCAGGTTATATGCTTAGAAAATGAAAAGTCAAATGACTAAGAGACAAAGTGAGGATACAAATTCAAATGTGCTGATTTTAGAGAGTTGGATTCTGTATTCATGAAACACATTTAACAGATTGGAGTATTTTACAAAATTTATAGCCAGTGTTCATTCTAATGCACAACAGAATTTATAAATCTTTAATTTAGTAAAAAGACAAACATCTTCCGCTCACTTGACAAAATGGTACAAGATGGTAGATTTAGTGTATACCTGTGAGATAAAAGACTGTGCAAAAGTGTGGATTTACAAATAATTAAAACATAATTTTGGAAAAGCTTCATGTTAAAAATCCTTTCTAATTCATTTAATCTTGCCATCCTTTATTCAAGATCAACTATTTCATATTAATATTGTGCATGATTTTATGAGCAGAGTGGCTGAATGGAAATTTAAAGCAGGGTACATGAGAGTTTCAGTGGTATCTGTTACTCCTCAGTCTGCAGCACAGCAGGAAAAATAAAATAAAGAAACAGAAGAAGAAAAGAAAGCAGTGTTTCAAAGCAAGATCCGTCTTTATGAACAAACCACCTAAGCATCTGGAGCCAGGACCTTGTGTCTTCCTTATATCTCTGTTGATATCATCTGCATCCTGAAAGAGCTTCCTCACTAACTGAGGATTGTCACTTCACTATTCACCTCACTGGATCAGGCAGAGAAACAAACCTTCTGTACCGACACAGAGGATGAGGAAAAAAAGGGAGGAAAAAGTGGATAAAAAGATCTTTTTGAAATCTAAGATTGTGATCCTCACCTCCCAACAGAATACGAGACACTGCAGACCTTCACTCCTTCATACACTCAAATACTCCTAACAACAACAAATCACAAAAAATCACCAAATTATGCCATTTAGAACAGAAATTAATTGCAAATTGTTGCAGCAGTGTTGCCTCTATTTACCAGCACTAACTGTAATCATTCTAGAGTAAATTAATTTTCATTCTCAGACTTTCATCTCTCTCTTCTTACTCTGGGTCAATAACTGTTATTTTCCCCAGTACCTTCAATGCAATTGGATAGCAGCTACAAATTTGCTTCCTAAACATAAGAATATGAATATAAGAACTGCCATATACCATCTGGGTTAGATCAAAGGTCTCCCTGGTTCAATATCTGTCTTACTATTGAAAATGGCCATTAGTGGATGCCTAGAAAAGTATATGAAAATAGGGCTAGCATTCCTCAAAGCACTCTCCCACTCTTTTGGGCTTTCTCAGACATATCTACTGCCTTTGAGGGGAACCATCCTGGGTAGATTTTGCTTTTATGACAATAAGAAGACATGAGATAGCTGGCTGTAATGTTAGTGAACATGACACTTCATTCAAACATGGTAGGTTTTTATGGAATGGGAACTAATTTTATGTCATCTTTAGGCAAATTAGTTCTACTTTAGAACAGGTTGTCCAGAGAGGTTGTGTAGTCTCCATCTGTGGGGATATTCAAAACCTGACTAGATGAAGTTTTGGGCAACCTGCTCTAGGAGACACTGTTGAGAAGGGATGTGTGTGTGCATGTGTGTACAAGATGATCTCAGGAGGTCCCTTCCAACCTAAATGATTCTGTGATTCTATGACAATGATAATATTAGTCTAAATGTCCCCTTCAACAACATCTCTCCAAAGAATATACTGATGCACAGTTTATTTTGAGCATCTGTTATATCAGTACTCAAGGAAGGGTACAGGTTCTACTGGATACATTCCTGTGATCAGTTTTTCAGGTTATTATCTGACCCTTCAATATAGCATGGTCAAAGACAATGGCAAAACCCCAACTATTCTGACCTTTCTCTTACACTTAACTATATAACATTCATAGTATGAATTGATATTTTGGAAATGTGCACTGTGCATGAATTAGGATAATCTTATTATACATTTTTATATCTCCTATGTTTTTAAGAAATATTACAGATTCAAAGAGATTTCATTTAAAGACACAGGGCACAGTGTTTTCATTTAACTCTAATGGCATATGGTAAAACTACTAGAAAAGAACTTCTAGATTAAAGTGTAATATGGAAAACCTTATTTCATAAATTCTTGGAGTTTTAGACTAGGTATTAGGAAGCATTTCTTTAGAGAACAGGTTGTTAGGTGTTGGAATGGCTGTCCAGGGAGGTGGTGGAGTCCCCATCCCTGGAAGTGCTTAAGAGTAGGGTTGACATAGCGCTAAGGGACATGGTGTAGTTTGGAACTCTCAGTGCAAGGTCAATGGTTGGACTAGATGATCTTCAAGGTCTTTTCCAGCCTCGATGATTCTGTGATTCTGTAAAATATTAGTGAATAAAAGCAAGTCTTTTCCCACACTGGTGACTCACATTGAAATATTTTTTCAAAAAAACCTTTAACAGTAACCACAGTTCCCAACTGCATCACAATTAAGGCAAAAGACCTTGTTGCAAGGTCAAACACAAATGACCTTATGTTGCATCATCATGCCAGGACAATCTAATAGCAACCTAGACTAAGACTTTTGCTAAATGTTGGTTCCAGATGCTCTGGTTTCATGGTTCCAGATCCCGATGTAAGGAAAGATAAACCATTCTCTCTTACTAAAACACTGAGGAAGTTGGAGAATCCAGTAAAAGAGTAGCTTGTAACATCTTAAAACTCCCCAGCCCTGTTCCTGACCAGAATGCTAACAGTAAACTTCATTATATTAAAAAAAAAAAAGACTACATAAAGTACTTGCCCTTATTGGCTGCCTTCTCTATTCTTTTGGTCCAGTAGAATAGCTAGTTTTAGATTCCCAAACCCTAATCTTAATTAAAATTATCACATTGTCTGTAACACTAAAAGATACCATGAGACTTTATGTCACTAGAAACCACCAGCTCTAATAGGCCTCTTCCTGTCTCTAGCAATGATACAAAATTAAATTGAACAAAATTGACCAATTTCACTTCTTTAAGCTTATTTCCCAAAGGCTTCAGTCCAACACTCCCAGCATAAGCTCTCCATCTAAGTCAGTGGGTGGGAAGTATGAAATCAAGTAATAAACTGAGTTCTTGGAGCTTTAATTTCCCAAACCCAGCTGTAACCTAATTTACGTTGCAACTAGAGAACAAGTAGAGAATATAAAGCCTCTGCAGAAACTAACCTTTCTGCCTCTGTGGTCAAATCCAAAAGCAAGCTGGGCTCCTGATGTTTCACTATTCTAGTTGCTAAACCCTATCCATTTAAAATACAAGAAACCTTTCCCCATACTAAACGATAACAAAAATAATCAATTTTTTCTTTGCCTCTGCTCACCTCCTCATTTTGTAGGCCTTGAAGAATGCAGTAGTGGGTTGGGTTCTTGAGCATTTCACTTTGAAAACCGCCCTCTAACCACAAAGTTCACTATCGGCAACGTGGGCCTTGGTTAAAATGCCAACAATCAGGCACTGGCTAGTACAAACAGCAATCTACTTTCTCATTCTATTGCTTTAGAAGAATCCAAAATTGATCCAGCTTAAAATCTGAAAATCTAACTGAAATCTAAATCCTAAAATTATTTTGCATCATGGTAATATTCCTCTGCTAAACAACAGTAAATCAATCTGTTCTTTACTGAAACCAGTTTTCTGTGGACGAAAGAAATTCTTTAATAAATGGAACTCTGCATGTTAGATTGCTAAACCCTAATCCACCTAGAATTACATTTGGAGGAAACTAACCTACAATAAAAGGCAACATAAGGCATTATCTATCTTTAACACAAACCATTTCCTCACTTTCAGGGCCAAAGAGCATCTGGTAAAAAAAAAAAAAAAAAAAAAAAGGCTCTTAAATATGGATGATGATGCCTTAGGCTACCATGATATAGTAGAAATATAAGGCTTTGATGATAATCAGCAGTGGCCTTTTTTCTGCCTCTGAGGATTTTTCCTCATGCAATGAAAACTGACTGTGCAATTTTGAGTCCAAGACCTAAATTCTAACTTTATCAATAAAATGAAATGTAGAATAAAGTTTTGTCCTAAAACTATACCAGCTAGCCCCCTAACCCTCAATCTGGAATTTTAGGCTGTTTTGCTTTAGTAGAAAATAACATATTTTGGCTCCTAATATATATACTCATTCCTTAACACTGAAGTCCTTCCAGAAGGCTGCAATAAACCTTCAATCTTTGATTTTCCTTAATCTAATCTTAATGATGATTGAATTTGAGGGGCATCATTACCCTCTCTACTAATCTTCCTACCCTGGGGAATCTGGAAGCATGGACTACAGAGCCTTTACATTTCCTAGCCCTAACCCTTAACACTATTCTGTATCATAGTCCAGATCTGCATGCCTAACTAGAACTTTCTCCTAAATCCATGCTAAGACTTACCCAAACATTAAGGGCTTTGCAGAATCTACAAATAGTGTGGGATCCTCAATCTTCAAATTCTAAAACCCTTGCCATAAATAATGTAGAACCAACAACCTCATCAATATAGTGAAAAACAGGACTTGAATTTCATCCAATCCATTAATAATTCTCATGGTCATGTAGCATACAACAGTTCAAATGGATTATTCTGCATTTAGCTGTTCTAATCTTACCTTCATTTTACTCCTAACCAATATCATATCGATACAGTAAGCAGTAACATCTAGAAAATAGTGGAAGAAACAACACAGATGTCGAGATAAAACAATTTACTAACTGATGAGCCTACAAGCACCCAGCAATTAAGTGTGTTCCTTAACCGTTGGAAAGCTAAGCCCTCCAATAACTCAAGGCCTGGCCTTTATTTCAGCCAGTGATTATGCAACCATACATTGAAAGATGTGACAAGTCTTAGACCCCATGAACCTTTTCATAATTTCAGAACCCTGCTACATGTAGCCATGATCAGGGTACGAAATCAAAGCTATAATTACAACTACAGAGCCAGCACCTACAGCAAAGTGCAATGACTCCGCAGGATAACCTCTTATATCTCTCTTTAGCTAAAGAGAATCTACTAGAAAATGTGTACTTCACATCTTCTTCCACCAAATCTTAACCGTTACCAGAGTCATAACTCAGACTTGAATTACACCTGGGTAGCTGATAGCTACAACAAAACTTGATAAATGATATAAATCTTTGATAAAAGTAGCTTTCTTGATATCCCTGCATACTGAGGTGAATCCTGCATTAGCCTCTGATATTCAAGCCTCTTTTCACAAGGCCTGTCCCCTATACACTACCTCCACACATACAGCACAGCTGGCTCCTAACTTAAAATTTCCAAGGTTTTTTAACTGGAGTTCACCATTTTTATCTCCTGTGATAGAATCTGAAAATCAAAAAAGTTGAGCTAATTGTGCTTCTTTGTTCCAAAAAAGATGCTGAAGAACACCTTTGTTAAAAAAAAAAAAAAAAAAAAAAAAAAAAAAAAAAAAAAAAAAAAAAAAAAAAAAGAAGTGCTAATCTTTCCAAAACTTCTGTGACTGAGGATAAAGTACTCAAAATCAGAAGCGCTACATAAAGACATACATTACTTCAGCTGCAACTAATGGATGAAATGCACTCCTGACTTGACTGTCAGTACATTCAGCTGGAAAAAAAGCCCAACAAGAAGAGCCTGGAATTTCCAGCTAGGTCTTGCCTGAATCTCAAAACTGAAAGGACCAGCAGATAAGCTTACTAAACACTTTCTTTTTATAAAGATTTTCTTTGTTCCCAGAGGAATAAATAATTCAGCCAGCAACTGTAATCTATTCAGCAGAGTGGAATCAATAATCAGCAGGAAGCAAAATAATAAATAACACTGTTCTGCTGGATGGAAAGAAATGGAAATAAGATTTCTGGTGCAAATGAGCAATGACAGAAGCAAGGGGGGGGAAAAAAAAAAAACCAAACAAAAAACCAAACCATGTCATGTAAGTCTATTTGCAAGAAAATGGAGTTTGCCTGCAATCTTACTGTGAGAGAATAAAAACATGAACAAAATACCTTTTCAACATGTTCTGAACAGAATGTATTTTCATTAGTATAGAAACACAACTATCCAGTAAACTAGGTTTTATTCCAGTTTTAGAACTTGGACAGGTTGCAATGTTATCCATTTCACTGTTACAAATTGTCTCATTATCAGCCAAACGGCAAAGTTCAGAACTGTACAACTAATATTGGACCCCTGCTGGAAAGAGTTATCTGACCTTACAAAGTGCACTAAACTCTAAGTTTGACCCAGGATGGGCATTTCTTCTCTCACAGAAGAGATTGCTTTAGCACTATGTCCTGGTTCAGCTAGGATAGGGTTAAGTTTCCTTTTTCTTTCTACCTTTTTCTATTTGTAGTATTAGATGGCATGTATAATAACATGATAACATTTATTATAATGAAGGGATCCTGATAGCATTATAATAAAGCTGATCACACTTCCAGTGCAAACTGCATAGAGATTTGTATGTCTTAAACATGGGCAAAACTAGAGGATGCCACTGAGTGGAATAAACAATCTGATTTTAAATTCAGCAGTCT